TTTCCCTTCTTTTGCATGTACACAAAACTTCTCATGCAGATGATTCCTCTTTCAGAGATAGTCATTCAGCAACTGTTGTTATGCTGAACTATCCATATAGCAATACAGTTTCATCCTCCCTTAGTTCTTCCCTTGCTGAAAACATCAGCACACGTAAGATATTTGAACGTCTGTGAACTGATTCTCATATGTTCCATAAAGCTTCATTAATATTACTGAAGCTAAGTGCTTCCTTGATACAGTACAAGGTCCTCCAATTTTGTGATTTGCTCCAACTTGCTGGTAGACTACTGTATAGCCTTTTCCACATATTGAAAATATTAATTTAAACATGGAATAATCAAGAAAAATAGGGCTATATTTAATAGGGCAAGGAGAGTTAATTTGATGTCTTGGAAACACTGAGTTACGCCAATGAAACACAAAAGAACATTACATTTCTGCAGGGTTTGGAGTATAAATAAACCATATCAACACTAACACAGAAAACTTTTGCACATGCTGTCATAATACATTTTATATTAAACAGAAAGAAAAATATTTAAAACTCTTTATTACCTTTGCTGCGGCTATAGCGTGCTCAGGCTTAATTACTTTACTTTTGTTCTCAAAAGCATTTGTTCTGGCTTCTTCTGCTAATCGATGGAGAAATAGTAAGAAGCTCAAATGCACCTTTAAAAGGGGGAAGAAAAAATAAACAAACAAACAAAAAAAACAAACAAAAAATCAAGAACAAAGGATTCAAACTGTTTAAACAGTTTTTTTAGAGGTTCATTGTTTCAGACAGAGGATTTGCATATTAGACTGCTTCTAAATTCCTGAAAAATGTTCTCAGGAAAACAAAGTACCACTTAGTTCAAGCCTTAATAAATTCCCAAGACATTCCTTACTGCAAGACTCCTTTAAATATATTTCAAATTTAGTATTCTTAAATTGTTTAAGAGCTCTAAAACTGATCATACAAACAACAACTAATCTAACAGAAGTCAAATCCGATTTTTATTAACAGTTTTTAAAATAATTAAACGCAAAAAATTCTTAGATAATAAAGAGCCTTTTTCCTTGTTCTCAGTGACTGCAACAGACATACTTCTAAAGAACAGCAAATTCATCCCTGCCTTATCACCAAATGGACCACAGACATGCTCAAGGACTTCTGCCCCTTTCCAGTGCAAAGAAGCATTGACCAGTAATTTCTCCAGAACAAGAAATTCTCCACTGTCAGGAGGTTCCATCCGTTTTTTCCCAGCTCATCACTTACTTTACCTTTTTACATGAAAAGGACTGGTAAGGCAGTATTCATTTCAATACAGAACACTTCTCTGCTACTACAGAAGCAGCGAAAATTTCAGCAGGCAAGGAACTGCTCCAACTTGGACTAAAAACTGCCAGCCAAAAGCACCCCTGTGTAATAAAGGGCCTATAATACAAACTTCTAGCATTACACAGACATTATGTGAACTATTTTAATAGTCCAACATGAAATTTGGTAATTGCAGCTTCTGTAAAATAAACTTTCGAACAATATTAACTTTACTACATACAGTGTACAAAAACAATTTTTCAATCAAGAACTCAGGAAAATACTACTGAAATACATGAAAAAAAATAATAATTGTATGAATTAGGTGATGTACTTATTCTGCCATAACGGATCTGCAAAGCCTAGAAAGATATAACAAGAAAAGTTATAAGGTAAGAGTTTATAGGAAATACTTTGGCAGTGGGTTTGCAGCACAAAGAGTTGGTTAGAGGACAGGCATTTCACTGTTCATATAACAAGCAATTTAAGGATTATTTTTTTCATCTCCCGAATTAAATGAAGCCAGCGTGCAATAGATAATTTACATAACATTTGGAAGCATCTACTGCACAAAAAGCAGATGGTCTTGCAGATTTATTTAGTTTAAATTTGACCTTGATATTTTGCTAATCGTTAGTAACTCACACAAAAATAATCTCTGACATAATCAAGCAGTGGCACTACAAGAGTGCTCAACATCAGAATTCTCATTATCAGACTTATCAACATGGAGGTTAAATTTCTAGAAACAACCTGGGGGAGAAGAGGGAGGAGAAACAAAAGCTTCCATACTTGCAAGTCCTCCTACTGAAGACTTTTAGAATTTTTACCTAATAGCAAAAGTCTTAATTTCAAAAGTGCCTTTAAAAACTGTGCCTTCTTCTCAAGAATTACTGTACCTTCATTTTCCTATTTTCAAAGTAAATTGCTGCATGTGGAGAAACTTCCCCTGAACTCCTAAAGATTTAAACATAGCCACATAGCTAAAATCAGAACATTCCACACAGAGCACACAAGTTAATAAATATTCCAGATTATTCAAGGCAATTCAGAAAGGCTAAAGAAAAGTAGAATGACTGAATACCATGAAGCGGGCAGATACTGACAAGTACTTAAATTATACCACTTTTGTCTAAAGACACTGCTTTACTAAGTATTTTTGTACCTTTGCATAAAATTTAAAACAGTTTTGAACTACTCCTGAAAACCACCCTACACAACAAAGGCCCTATTTTCCATTAAAAAAGGGTTGTAAAGTTTTAAGGTTGCAAAAACTCGCTGCTTGCAGAGAAAATTCCCCACACCTGTTCACAGAACTAATGAATATCAGGGCCAAGTTTCAGAATTTTGTTCTGTATTCATAGCTCTGGAACAATTCTTTAGACAGATATTTCGCCTTCAAGTGTAAACTTATCCATCATTCTATAACCAAGAAAAAAGAAGTCACTCAAAACAATACTTTTGAGTTTTCTCTGCAATGTAAATACAGATCTTCCCTTCTAGCATAAAACAAGCAGCTGATATCCTGCTTTTCTTCTATAATTTCAAGCTATAACAAAGTTTGCAGCTTTTTCCTTTCAGGCCATTGGAGGAAAGGAATATCTGAACAAAAGTCCTTACATCTTACTTTCAAAAAGGTAAATAATTAAGTTCTAGGAGCACTAGAAAAACCTTAAACAATGTTCCTATCTCTTCACTCAAAGATATTATCACACTCCTTTTCAAAAAGGGAATAACAAAGACATTAAAAAATATTCTCAAAACTTGCTACTTACCTAACTACAGTACTAAACCCTGACCCCTCTTTTTTTATTTCTTTCTTTTTCTTTTTTTTTTTTTTTCAAGAAAGCAAAACTCCAGCTATGTTGATTATTTATTCATAGAAATAAAGACATAAAGAACTGCTAGCCCCATGTATAGCTGAAGAACGTGATGGGTAATCACCACTCCTGGACTTTCCTGTTTAAAGGTAAAATAAAAAAGCCAAGCCTCCTGATATAAAAGGCCTTTTGACAGCATCAGAAGAGATAATCTAAGCTTCCACCACATTATTAAAACTCATTATCAACTCATCCTTTGTGTTGGAATGAACATTTGCATAGCCATGTTTTAAGGTAGATCAGATCGTTGTTGTTCATTAGTTTCAGTCAACTCAATTCACTGCCTTTGTAGCCCACAGAAAAAATATATCTATTAACATTTGTGTACATTTGATTAGTTGACTACTGGAATCCAGTGACTAAGCTTTGATTGTGTCTGCATGAGCAGCAAGGGGCCAGATCTTTAGTCCATAAAATACTCCAAAGATAGTAAAAGCAGCAGGAAGAGATCATATTTTTATTAGACCAATTAGAAAAATATGTACAGTTTACATTAAAAAATAAAACCTCTCATGTAATTACCATATTAATTACTATTCGTCTTATATTTTTCAGTTTTTTATATTTAGCTTCATATATCCAGATACCAGCCTTCAAGGTGCTGCAAGACACAACCTTTCATACACATATGAAACATGGACTTACAATTCAAGTCAGGGACCATACTTCTATACAGCAGGGATTAACACTCAAAGAATCACATGCATTTGAAATCAAGACAGCATGACAGTCAAGCAAATTAAGTCTATTAAGTCACTTCAAAGAATATTTTCTATGCACAGATATTATTTTTGTTTCAATATGGCAGATACCACAAGCTCTCTTGAGATCAGGTTTCCTTGCTATAGTCAAGTGATGTCTTGGAGAGACAAATTTTCCTGTACCACAAATCTCTAATTGCAGTTCAGAAGAAATCCAGCTTTATTTGCCTCAGTTTTCTGAAACTTGTTCAATATGGCTCCGTTATTTCTACACCTTTATGGCAGATGTTTTCAAACTGTTAACTGGATCCAAACACCCTGTTCTTCTCTTTATATGACTAACAAGACTTGTTATTCCTTAATTTTGGACAGAGGTTACTCAGGTGGCCTTCTTAAAACAAAAAAATAAAAAAAAAAAATTAAAAAATCAAGATGTCTTAACAGCTTAGCAATTAATTCATCACAATTCAGTGAATTGATATCTGTATACCCCAAATTGCTCTACATAAACATCTGCATGTTACAGCCATACAACCCAAATTCCTATTGCTGTCTGCCCACATCAAATTCTTTGAACAGCAGCCAATACAAGCAGTAACACAACATTTAGGCATCAGCCTGTCCCTGAATCCCTACAGTCACCGTCAGAACCCTACAATACAGTAGCCACCAGCAGAAATCTGCAATCACTACTGATTAGAATTTTATTAGAATAGCCAATCGTTTCTCTCTCCATAACCTTTGCCTCCCCTCTGCCTGTTGGTCACTGCAGAAACACCACTAATAGTAACTCGACATCCCATTATCCCAGCAACTCCACAGCGCTCCAGTGTGCACAATCCGTCGGTCCCTGTTCTTCCAGTGATCAAACATTTAGAGACTAAACGTGTCTACTTAGACATTCCTACCTGCCCCTGGGTGACCAGAACAGCTGCACCTGCCCCCGTTCCCCACAGCACAGCCACTCCCC